ACAATCCAAAAAAATTGAGCATATATGATATGTATGAGTGAATTTGCTCAAATAAGACTCAAATAACTCACTTAAGGGTTCTTTGTTAGAAGGCTAAGCACACTCGTCATCTAACTTCATCAACAAACATGGCAAGATCCTAATGAACTAAATAAAGCACAACAATCTCAGTTCGACATACGCAAGAGGACATGCAGGGAAGTATATCAAAATAAAGCATTATAGAGCATCAAAAGTTCTAATCTCCCCCCACGCCTAATTGAGGCAATGTCCCTATTGCAAGAACAAAGATGAAATAAAGGAAAGGAGAAAAGAAACTTCCCTGGAATAGATGAGGGCGACCAGCCCGCTTAGGACCGGCGACGGGCGCGCAAAAGCTTTTCAATGGAGTCTAACTGTCCTTTTAGAGTCGCTTGTCCAGCTAAAATCGCATCAAGCTTGCCACGAAGGTCATTATTATTATCCTTCAGTATTTTAACATCAGATGCCAACGCCTGTAAAGTAGAGCCAGTGGCGGATCGCGCAAGAGCACCATCCTCAGTAGAAGTAGGAATAGGGTGTTCCTCTCGGTCATCATCAAACTGGACTACATCGCGATGGGATGGCCGACGCCACCGATTAACAAGGCGATATCCAGCATCAAACAACCTCTATGAAAATCACCCAAATTAAAATTTTTCATCAACTTATTTTATATCATATCTAGGGAATAATCGATAGAGGTTTCTCAAGAGAATGCAATATAGATTAAGAGTAAATGACTTCCCTGAAATTTTCACCGGTGACTCGTGGCTGATCGTCAACGGCAGCGCAGAACAACCGTATAGCAGTAGTTTGAGATTGGGAGCAGCGTGCGACGGAGGAAACTGCTATTGGCGGGCGGCTTCAGCGCGTCGACTTGGCGAAGGAGGCGTGCTGAATTGGCGCACCGGAATCGGACAGATGGACAGCGGCTGGGCGACGGCTTAGGGGTGGCGAACTGCGACTTCACGGACCGACGTCTCGACTGGCGGAGGAGCAACGGCGCAGCTTTTGCGAGAGAACGAGAGAATGAGGTTTGAATCGAGAGGGTGAGAGAAAAGAGAATAAAGAATTAGGGTTAATTGGGTGTAATAATAATAATAATAATAATAATAATAATAATAATAATAATAATAATATAATAATAATAATATATGAAATATAATAATCATTATAGTAAGGACAATACATATAGTAAAAATAATAAACGTATAACTATAGTAATAAATATAGTAATAAATATGGAAATAAAAAAATTAGGATTTAATTACGAAAATAATAATTAAAATGATAGAAACAATAATAAATATAGTAATAAATTTAATAATTATAGTAATAAATATCATAATAATTATAATTATAGACATAGTAATAAATATAATAAGAAGAATAAATATGGTAACTATAATAATAAATATAGAAACAAAATATATATAAATAAATAAATTAAATTAAAAATAACAATAATAATAATAATATATAATAAAAATATATAAAAAAATAACAAGTATATATATATATAAAAATAAAATAAAATTAATAGCTATTATAATATTTATTATAGAAAAAAATAAATAAATAAATATAGTAATATTTAATTTAATAATAATAATAATAAATATAATAATAATTCCCCAAAATAAACCCTCTTTTTGCACAATTTTTTAGAATGTAAGACTCCATTAGGTGTGATCACGCCTAAAGAAGTTGTACATTCTGATTTCTTTAAAAATTTCTCCCTCTCATCAATCACAACACACGTGGCCACACCTAAGAATCATTCTCATTCTGCTCCACTCAACCACAAAAATTTCACCGGTCAGCAAAACACCAAAAACAAGGCATAAAATTGACTCCAAAACACAACAAAACTAAAAACACACAAAATAAAATTAAAACACTTGGGTTGCCTCCCAAGAAGCGCCTTTGTTTATTGTCGTTGGCTCGACACAACATCTTTTAAGCTAGTTACACGGCTCAAAGAGAACTACACACTCCACTTCTTTGCTCTGGAACCCCTCATAGCAAAGTTTAAGACGATGCCCATTCACAACAAACCTCTTTTCCGTGCTTAGACTTTGAATCTCAACTGCACCATACGGAAAAACGTTAGTAATAAAAAACGGACCTATCCATCGAGAGCGAAGCTTACCTGGAAACAGTTTAAGTCGAGAATGATAGAGCAAAACTTTTTGGCCAACTTTGAATTCTTTCCTCAAAATATTATGATCATGAAATTTCTTACTTTTCTCTTTATAAATCATAGCATTCTCGTAAGCTTCATTTCGAATCTCCTCCAATTCTTGCAATTGTAATTTCCTACATTCTCCAGCTTCACTCAAATTCATGTTACACTGTTTAATCGCCCAAAAAGCCCTATGTTCAAGTTCAACAGGTAAATGGCAAGGCTTACCAAAGACTAACCTGTAGGGTGACATCCCCAGTGGAGTTTTGTATGCAGTTCTGTATGCCCATAACGCATCCTCTAAGCGTAAACTCCAATCCTTCCTATCTGGTCTTACCATTTTCTCCAAAATTTCCTTTATCTCTCGATTGGAAACCTCTGCTTGCCCGTTTGTTTGCGGATGATATGACGTGGAGACCTTATGAAGAACTCTATACCTGCGAAACAACGCTGAAATGGTTTTGTTGCAAAAATGTGTGCCTCGATCACTTACTATTGCCCTAGGCATTCCAAAACGAGTGAAAATCAAAGATTTCAGGAAATCTGCAACAACCTTAGCATCATTAGTTCGGGTAGCCTTTGCTTCCACCCACTTCGACATATAGTCAACAACAAGTATGATATACAAAAAACCATGTGAAAGTGGAAATGGTCCCATAAAATCCATACCCCACACATCGAATACCTCAACAAACAACATCGGTGTTAGGGGCATTTGATTTCTAGCAGAAATATTGCCTACTCTTTGACATTTATCACATGCTTTGCAAAATTCATAAGCATCCTTAAATAACGTAGGCCAATAAAATCCACTATCGAGTACCTTTCTTGCAGTCCGTTGGGAGCCAAAATGACCTCCACATTCTAATGAATGACAAAATTTCAAAATGGACTCATATTCACTTTCTTCAACACAACGTCGAATAACTTGGTCCGCACATCGTTTCCACAAGTAGGGATCATCCCAAACATAGTATTTTGCATCGCTTTTCAGCTTGTCTTTCTTTGCGTTTGTCCATCCTGCAGGGAATTTATTAGTGACCAGATAGTTCACTAAATCAGCATACCAAGGAAAAGAACAAGAAATCGCTAGTAATTGCTCATCCGGAAAATACTCCCTCAAATGTAATTCATCATGAACCATAGGAAGACGACTTAAATGGTCAGCTACCAAATTTTCGCTTCCTTTTTTATCTCGAATCTCCACATCAAATTCTTGTAGGAGTAATATCCATCGTATAAGCCTTGGCTTGCTTTCCTTTTTCGCCATTAGATACCTCAAAGCTGCGTGGTCAGAAAATACAATTACTTTAGTACCCAACAAGTAAGATCTAAATTTTTCTAAAGCAAAAACAACGGCTAAGAGTTCTTTTTCAGTAGTGGAGTAGTTCAATTGGGCTCCATTGAGTGCTTTTGATGCATAGTAGATTGCCCATGGAATCTTTCCACTTCTCTGTCCAAGTACAGCCCCCACTGCCGTGTCGCTTGCATCACACATAATCTCAAAAGGAAAATCCCAATTTGGTGGTTGAATGATGGGCGGTGATGTCAACAACTCTTTAATCTTGTCAAATGCCTTCTTACACTCTTCATCAAACTCAAATTGAACATCCTTTTGTAACAATCGGAAAAGAGGAGCAGCCACCTTCGAGAAATCTTTAATGAACCGACGATAAAATCCTGCATGCCCTAAAAATGAACGCAAATCCCTCACCGAAGTGGGATAGGGTAAAGCAGAGATAATATCAATCTTGGCTTTATCTACCTCTATTCCTTTTGATGAAACTAAATGTCCAAAAACTATTCCCTCTTCTACCATAAATTGACATTTTTCCCAATTCAACACTAACTTGGTTTCTTTACACCTTTTTAAAATCAATGCCAAATTGTCTAAACAAATGTCAAAATCATCTCCATATACACTGAAATCATCCATAAAAACCTCAATAATCTTACCTATATATTCATAAAATATGCTTACCATACACCGCTGAAATCTCGCAGGGGCATTGCACAAGCCAAATGGCATCCGCCTATAAGCAAAAGTGCCAAAAGGACATGTGAATGTCGTCTTTTCTTGATCCTCTGGTGCAATAGCAATTTGAAAATAACCTGAAAAACCATCTAGGAAACAAAAATGAGATTTTCCCGCTAACCTCTCAACCATTTGATCAATGAAAGGTAATGGAAAATGATCTTTCTTTGTGACTGAATTTAGCTTACGGTAGTCGATACATTGACGCCAACCGGTTTGTTTCCGAACCGGTATCAACTTACCATCGTGGTCAGCCTCTATAGTAACTCCCGCCTTCTTGGGAACAACATGAATTGGACTTACCCATTGACTATCCGAAATTGGATAGATGATATCGGCATCCAAGAGCTTCAAGATCTCTTTCTTTACGACTTCCATCATAGCAGGATTCAACCTCCTTTGAGCTTGCCTTATTGGTTTTGCATTTTCCTCAAGCACAATCTTGTGGGTACAAAGAAATGGGCTAATGCCCTTGATGTCAACTAATGTCCATCCAATAGCCTCCTTGTGCTCTCTCAATATTCGGATCAACTTCTCCTCTTGACTAGGAGACAGTGCAGCAGATATGATCACCGGCAATGTCTCTCAAACTCCTAAAAAGGCATATTTCAAGTTCGAGGGCAATGGTTTCATCTCCAAAACCGGTGCCTGCACAACAGATGACAACAACCCTTTATCAGATTTTGCTAAAACTGAATTAACCACAACATACCTTAATGGTTCATGCGGCAGAGATTGCAAAGCTAGAATCATTTCTTCCTATGCACCATTTATGAGAAATTCATCCATAGAGTTCATGTCCAAGCAGTTTGTGAGTGCAACCTCTAATTCATCCTTTCCACTCAAGTCAAAGACTTCCTGCAAATTTTGAGTAAGAACATCTACACAACACAAAGTATTAGGCTCCACAGGATATCCCATTGCATCAAAAATATTAAAATGAACTTTTACACCTTCGAACTCCATAGTCAGTGTCCCTGTTTTAACATCAATCTTTGTTTGTGCGGTGCACATAAAAGGCCGTCCAAGCAAAATGGGGGAGGGATTAGGTGAATTGTCATCATGCATATCTAGAACATAGAAATCAACAGGGAATATTAACTCATTCACTTGCACAAGAACATCCTCAATTATCCCTTCAGGGTAAGCGTTGGTTCTATCGGCAAGTTGAATTATTATCCCCGTTTCCTTCAAAGGCCCAATGTTCAAAGATTTAAAAATAGAATTAGGCATAACATTTATAGCTGCACCCAAATCTAGCATAGCTCTTTTAATTTCCATCTTACCTATTTTGCACGGGACTACAAACATACCTGGATCTCCGCATTTTTGTGGCAATTTCCTTTGCAGCACAGCGGACACAGTCTCTCCAGCTAGCACATTTTCGTCCCCTCTCAACTTCTGCTTTTTAGTACACAACTCCTTCAGAAATTTAGCATAACGGGGGACTTGCTTAATTGCGTCAAGTAAAGGAATGCTTAGCTCCACTTTCTTAAACATCTCCATGATCTCCTTGTCTTTATCGCTTTTAGCCGGTTTTGCTAACCTGTGAGGAAATGGAGCAACATTAGCATTTGATTGAATAGGAGGTTTAGAATTCACCTGATCAGTTGACTTGTTCACTTCATGCTCAATCTCCTTCTCAATCTTCTCTTCACCTCTCTCTTTTCCAGTAATCACCTTCGAACCCTTCAGCTCCTTACCACTCCGCAAGATCATTGAACTAACATTGCTCGGGTTCATGTGGGTTTGGGCTGGCAGCTTGCCTTTTTCCTTTTCTTTCATCTCACGCACCTCTTTCACGACTTGACACATCTGAGCTTCCAAGTTCTTTATGCTTGTTCTCGTCTCTTGCTGAAATTGCAAAACATTAGAGGCAATTTTTTTCACCATACCATGCAAAGAGTTACCAGGAACGGGAGCTTGGTGCATAGTCCTTTGTTGCTGCTGTTGTGCTTGTGGTTGAAAACCCGGTGGTTGTTGTTGACCACAGGATTGCTGATTCTGATTCCCATATCGAAAATTGGGGTGGTCTCGCCATCCCGGATTGTATGTGTTTGAATATGGATCATAAGCCCTTCTTGGAGCAAAACCTGCAGCATTCACTTCCACTTCTTCTCTTAGTGTGGGACAAGCATCCATGGGATGCTCAACACTCCCACAAATTCCACACGGCTTCACTTGAGCATTACCTACAGCAAGTTTCCTCACAAAAGCAGTTAGCTCATTCAATTGTTGTTGCATAGGAGAACTTACCTCAATAGCTTCTTTCACTCCCACGACATCCCTCGGCCCAAATTGTTGAGAGTTCATGGCCATATCATTCAACAATTCCCAAGCTTCTCTCGGAGTCTTATTCATTAAAGCGCCTCCACTGGCAGCATCGATGATCCTCCTGTCAATAGAAGTTAGTCCTTCATAGAAATATTGGATTAAAAGTTGCTCAGAAATTTGATGTTGGGGACATCGAGCAATTAATTTATTAAATCTATCCCAATACTCGTATAAGGACTCCCCTGATGTTTGTTTGATGCCACAAATCTCTTTTCGCAAATTCGCAGCCCGGGATGCGGGAAAGAACTTCTCAAGAAATTTGCGCTTCATATCCATCCATGTGATAACACTCCCGGACGGCAAGTTAAACAACCAATCTTTAGCTGCATCCTTCGAAGAGAATGGAAAAGCCCGGAGCTTTATTTGTTCCTCAGTGAGTCCCGGAGGTTTCATACTCGTACATACCACATCGAATTCCTGCAAGTGCTTGTGTGGCTCCTCCCCTGCCAAACCATGAAAAGACGGCAATAAATGAATTAGTCCAGATTTAAGTTCGAATGCCGTATTATCGGCTATAGCAGGAAAAGTAATACACAAAGGGTGCTGAATTAAGTCGGGAGCAGCTAGCTCCCTTAAGGTTCTTTGTGCCATTGGATTTATCAAAACTTCTTCCACTTCCTTGTGCTCTTCACCCTCGTCAGAACTAGAGGTATCCGCTAGTTGGATAGCTAAATTAAGTCCCGGTGACTCAACTTCTTTCTCGGCCCTCTTTCGCTCTTTAGCTTCTTTCCGCAAACGACGTGCAATTCTTTCAATCTCTGAATCAAAGATTAATTGACCTGTACGACTAGTTCGAGGCATAAACCATTAAGCAAAAATTAGAGCTAAATAAATAAAATAAACAACCAAATATCAAAAATCAAATTACTGATCCCCGGCAACGGCGCCAAAATTGCTAGCCTCGTCAAAGCTGCAAAATAAAGTATCAATTCCTACGCCACAGAGAATACAAAATGAAGTAATGCTGGTGAGTAGGGTCGTCTCCACAGGGAACAGTAATAATTTCAACACTCGGTTGAATAGAATTATATATATATATTTAATGGGGGGTTTTTGATTTATCACACTAATTTAAGGAGAAAATAAATCTGCTCAACTAAATAAAATAAAATGCAAGATTAGCGGTTTACCAAATATAATTAAACACTAGCATAGGCATGAATTTTTCATTCGGGATATGAAATTTGATCATCGACTAAAATTCAAATTCATCGACTAATTGGATAAATTGGTTATAGTTGATCTACACGCGTTCAAAACCAACCTTTCCTTACTTTTTTAATAGCTAAGGTACGACCGTTAGTTATTTCTCTAATCGGGAAAGAATCCTAGGTACGACCGTAGTTTTCTAACTCGACAGCAGTAAAAACTAGAAAGACCCAATTAAATTTAACAAGCTCCTACGAGGATTTGTTTAAAATTGATTTTAATTCTTCCCTAGAGTGTTCGTCTCTAGGTTGCTACGCCAATCGAAAAATTACACAATTACGTATGCCAATCCCCAATATAGCTATGAAATCCTAAATTGATATGTGCGCAATAATCAATTCAAGATTTCTAAACTCATCAATTAGAAGAATTAAAAATACCCAACATCGATGAACACCAATTTAATCTAAACCAAGTCTCACAATTTCAATCCCGTAAATCAATTCATACCTACACTAGAAATGAAACTACTCGCAATCCATAGCAATTAAAAACACAAAATAAATCAAAGAGTTCATCATGCCTTCAAGTTTAAAAGAAATCGACAACAAACCAATTCTAGAAATTGAAGAAAAAGGTGCCCGGAAGTTCTTCTCCGTTGCTCTCGAAAGTTCCCGTTCCGTAATGTTCTTCCTTCCTTATCTTCTCCTTCAGAAAATGGGTTGTAAGTGAGATCGTGGTAGAGAACGTGGTAGTCCCCTCTCTTCTCCTCTTAAATTGAAAATCGTGTCTCTTCAAGTCCACTTAAGATCCCCTTTGCATTTTAAAACCAAACAATAGTAAAATTGCTAATTAACCCCGGAGGACCTTTTTGTAATTTTCATTTTTTTCTGCTTCGTGATCACGCTTTAAGGACTTCCTGCGTTCTGCTTTTCTCTCCAATATGCCCAAAATTTGCCAACTCCTCAACGCCAAGTAGAAAGTTCAAAAACACATCATTAGGAGCATATATACAAAATTCGCATCCAAAAACTGTCTAAAATATAGCAAAATATTTGTCCAATATCGCATATATCACAGTGGCTGGCTACCAAAGAAGAGATCAAGGGGCGACCATACTGTAAGTGGCATAATTCGTTCACCCATAGTACTAGCCAATGCACCCACTTTTGAAAAAAAAATACAAAAGGCTATCTAGGGAAGAAGATTCAAGTATGTTATTCTGGGGGTTGAGCAAAGACCTTTCCCTAAAGTAACTGTAGCCCCACAATCACCATTGTTGAAAGAAATAAGTCAAGGGAAATGGTAGAAGTTCCAACCAGAGTAGCCGAAAATTGGGACCATTTGGATCGCATATTTGAAGTCGAAGTCAAAGACGGAGCATTAGTACATCCTAAATCCATGTGCAGGCCCCAAGCATTAAAGGAGAATAAGTGGAATCGGAATCAGAAACCGCTACCCATCACTATCGACCCAAGGTTCCGGGTATGAACCGTATGCAGATCAGAAATGCTAAGCGAAGGTATGCAGTTCTGCGTGGAAAGTGGCCGAAAAACGGGTGAAATAAGCAGGCACTAGGAGATGAGACCGAACAAAATGCTAGGATTCTAAATCGGGTCGCGAAAGACATGCATCGTGGGTGGGCGTTGAGAGAAATGCCCGAATAAAAGGTTAAGATTTTGAGCCAAACAGAGAACGGACAGCCTCCTGCGCAAGTAAAAAGATGTTTCAGATGTTGTTTTTGCAACTGGGTTAATAGGGATCCTGAGATAGATGCCGCATTTGAGCCCGAACAAATAACGTTTGGAAATTTTTTGCTAAATGAGATTCAGGATCTACTATGTTTGAGGCAAATTCCTTCCCAAAAAAGGAGCCTAGTGGACTCTAAGGAGAATCACGATCAGGCTACTCACACATTTACAGTATGGGCCCATATAAACAGCCAGAAACAACCCAGGTTATATTCCCACCTATGCCTGAAGAAGCAGTTTCGCATTTAAACCCCCTCTACGTTGATGTTCATATCCATGGAAAGCCGGTAAGTAGAGCTTTTATTGATAATGGTGCTTTGTTTAACGTTATGCCTTCGAAAACCTTGTACAAACTGGGTAAAACAGTGTCGATCTCATTCCGGTCGACATTAAAATGACAAACTTTACTAGTCAACCAACCAAGCCAAATGGCATGATGCTTGCTCCTATAGAGGTGGGCCTGAAAAGCATTTATACTGTTTTTTGTGGTTGAAGCGGATACCACATATTTTGTTCTCTAGGGAGGAATTGGATTCATGCGTCTCAGTGTGTACCATCTTCGCTTCATCAGTAGTTGATATTTTGGGAGGGAACTCAGGTCTTCAATATGGAAGCCAACAAAAGTACTTCCGACCCATAGACACTATAAAGGAGACTGCTTTTTACATCGGAAATTTCCCACCTATTTCTCAAGCAACCTCAGCGAATGATTACCTTGGAGGAGCTTTAGGCTTACCAGTCACATGTATATGTTTTCCTAAAGGGAACAACTTTTGATGGCTAAACAAAAGCCAAAAACTGTCATTGCTTCTCATAGATCTGATGAATTGTTCGGGTATTGCGGAATATGAAGGTATTTGCAATGTTTTCTTTAAACAATTAATGTTTACGTTAAGAAATTCGGTAACATGGTTTGATATTTGAAACCAAAACGGCCACTTTGAATGGCCAAATCTTCTTGAAAAAACAAAGTCATCTTTATCGACTCAGGATCCGTTCGAGAAGTTTAGTATGGGGACAAAAGAAGCCCCACGAATAATTCATGTCAGTAGTCTGTTATCTCGAATTCAACAAGAGGTTCTCATAGATTTAATTCGAAAGCATGTTGAGTGCCTAGCTTCGGATTATTTGGAGATGTCGGGATTGGATTGAAGCTTGATCGAGCATCGGCTCCTCATCAGAACAGGGTTTAACCCTTGTAAACAGGCCCCCCGACGAATCTCACCAAAATTGATGCCACAGATTAAGGAAGAAATCGAGAAGTTTCTAAAAGCCAGATTTATTTAGCCATGTAGATATGCAGAGTGGTTGGCTAATATAGTTCCAGTGACCAAGAAGAATGGCAAGATAAGGATTTACATCGACTTTAGGGACCTGAATGTGGCGGCTCCCAAGATGAGTATGTCATGCCTATGGCAGATATGCTTATTGATTAAGCAGCAGGGCATCAGATTCTAAGTCTGATGGACGGATACGCAGGATATAATCAAATTTTTTTGGCCGAAGAAGACGTCCATAAGACAACTTTTAGATGCCCCGGAGCCCTTGGGATCTATGAATGGACAGTTATGCCATTTGGTTTGAAGAATGCGGGAGCTACATATGAAAGGGCTATGAATGCAATTTTTCATGATCTGATAGGTAGTTTAATGGAGGTATATATCGATGACATCCTTGTTAAGTTAACCGATTTTGAAACAGACTTAGCCGATCTCGAGAAGGAATTTATCCGAATTAAGAAGTACAACCTCATGATGAACCCAATGAAATGCGCTTGCTGGGTTTTGTCTGGAAGTTTTCTGGGATTTCTCGTCCACAAAAAAGGAATTGAGGTGGATGCTAATAAAGCCAATGTAGTGCTTGCTATTCAGCCTCCAAAGACTGTTAAGGAGGTTCAGAGCATGTTTGGAAAAATAAATTATTTAAGAAGGTTCATAGCTAACGCGACTGGTAAGATGAAACCCATTACCAAGCTCTTGAAAGCAACGACACCCCCCAACATCGTTTGGGGGGAGGAATAGTAGAAGACCCTGTATGCTATTAAGCAAGCTCTTACTAAACCACCATTTTGGTACCACACAGGTTCGGCCAGCCACTCAAGCACTATCTGGAAAATACGTACGACGTGGTGAGTTGCCCATTAGCGCAAGATTGGGATAATGGAAAAGAAAGAACGGTGGTTTACCTCAGTAAAATGTTGGTCAGGCCTGAAATCAACTATTTTATGCCTGAAAATATGTTATTCGTTGGTCTCACATGCACCAAGTTTGAGCATTACCTTTTACCAAGGAAAACTGAAGTAATTGCCAAATTCGATATTGTTAAGTTAATAATCTCTTTGCAGCATATACCCCACATGCATCCTTTGTAAACTTCATATTCGATTCATCATCGCAAAATTAACTAATACTTATCAGATTTTTGCTAAGACCTTCAGCGAAATAAACCTTTGAAAGCTATGGAATTTCTTCTTCTTCAAATATATCGTCCATAATCTGTAATTTTGCCTTTTCCACTATTTCCAAAGATAACATCACCACTTTTGTCTTCAACAAGTGTTTCCTACTCGTCATGTGGCATGAGCATCTATTATCAAAGTACCACCAGTCCTACCTTGTAGATTCTTGATTTAACAAAATAACATTGCACCATTTTTTTCTGATCTTTCTTTGGCATTCATACCAATTTGATCTTAATATTTTTTCTGAGACCTTTAGTAGGCCATTGAATGATTCTATCATTCATCACACCATCTGCAAGTCTGAAACAGTTAGTGGATGTATGTCCAAGATATCTGCAGTTTTCACAATCATATTTTGTCATGATAGCAACCTTATGTCATTCAGAGCGCCTCTGCGGTTTCTGATCTGCTTTCTAGGTTTGTTCATTTACAAACTTTGTTTTTATCACTTAAACTATTTTATTGTCTGAAATCATAACCTCACTAACAACACCACCTTTTAAAAATGAATTGGCTTGCTTTTTAACGATTCATTGGATTACAATCCTTTGTGATCCCCAAATGGTTTCCCCATAGAAATGACTTTATCTAATTTTTCTTTTCCATTTCAAAATTTGTCATTCACTTTTTCAGTAGCAAGTTTTCAGCTTTTAAAACCATCTGATTCAATAGATTTTAGTTGAACATCTTTCATCAGTTGCTCAATTTCATTGTCCATATTTTTTTTTTCTTTCTGAGCTTCCAATCGGTAAATGGTGTTAAGAAGTTCATTATTTTGCACAAAGGAGTTTTTTCTTTTTGAGCTTCGATCAGTTCATCAGCTTTGAGTTCTTTGGACTCTTCCGAAGCTTTGGCAGTAGAAGCACCATCATTATTTTTGTTTTATCCTCCATGAATGCCATGACATCTTCTTTTGGAAGTAGAAGAAACATTATCTTTGTTTGGTAGAAGTTCCCTTTCGGTTTGCTATAATTTGATGACTTATACTCTATGTAACTATGAGGGTTGTTTTTACACCACTTTGATTTATGTTCTGAAGCTTTCCATAGAATTGTTTCATAGATCTCTTCTCACTGATCATCCTCGAAAGTTTTCTACTGAGTAATGACATTTCTTCATTTCATTAAACCAACTATAAGTTTTCAGACGATGATGCCATGCATTTTTGGTACATCTTCCTCTATATGATTCATCTCAAAAGTGACCAGAATACAATCGAGGCCATCAAGAGCCAATGTCCTTAGTTTTCCAGATTATTCAAGGGCAACCACCTTCGGAGCATCATCCTCATTAGTTTTTGTTCGTCATTTTGCATCCCCAATGTGTATGCTTGATTGACTACAACCTTGAACCTGTTGTAATACTATCCAATAGTTTGATATTCAGTTATTCTCATAGAGTCAAACATGGTTTATCCAACGATTTCGTCTTCATTTATTCTCATACAGTCAAACATGGTTTCTACACGTTGCAATTTTGTTTCCCGAACATTACCTGAACTTTCACGTGCGCTTTCCATTACATCCCATACTACTTTGGATATTTTTTTAGTTTGATATAACTGTTTACTAGTTTTCATCAACAACATTAAATATGTTATTGATAGCCTTTGAGTTTCAAATATTAGTAGCTCTTTCTTTAGCACTTCATTCTCGCTTTGGTTTTGGCACCGTGATAGGAATATCTCATTTACCTTGAATGTCTTTGTAGGTGCAAACCATTTGAACTCAATTGCTTCACAAACATTATCTCTTTGGGATATTAGAAAAGTTTCTATTTTATTTTTACAAAACCTGTAATTTGAACCATCGAACAAGGGAGGCATGGTTGTTGAGTTTTTTCCTTTACTCATTTTGAACTCCAAGTTGATATACTCAGGAGGTAGAGCACAATGCATTGATGCCGAATGTTGGAAAATGTTCAATCAAACTTCTAAAAAAGGCAAACTCCACCAAGCAATGAACAACATTGTTATATAACATATTTTGAAATAACACAACAATTATATCGTGATAAACTTACAGTAATTGCTACTCAGTGTCAACGTAATGAATGCGAATGCAGCAAAGCAATGAATTACATAAGAAGTTTTTTGACCCAATTTGATTATAAATAATCTACATCTAGAGGACACCAATCCAAAAGTGTGTTAACTATCGCCTATCTAGGTTACAAGGACTTAATCAACCAAGACACTCCTACAACTCCTATAATTTCCCATTGCGTACCTTGCAAAAGATTGCACAGGTAATTGGTCATTACTACACTGCAATAAGACCAACGATAATCTATTAGCAGGGAGTAAGGTAGTCAACGAGTTGGTCTGCATCTCCGATTAACTCTCCGATTTCTCCTTCCAGGATATACATGATCTTGGATATACTTTGAGTCACGTAGATTCACTTCCTTATGCGATATTTCGACTCTATTAACACCACAGGTTACACAAAATGTGTACGAGGATAAAACAATGCAACACTCGAATTTTAGGCGAAAAATCGAGCAAGTAAAAAGGTTTGGAGATTATTTGCTTATCAAAATTATATTTTCCAGAATCCTGGAGAAAGAAGGGAGAAGATTACACGTAATTCAAAGATTATGGGACTTTTTGCCACTCTCTTATTATTTTATTTTTTTTCTTATTTTGTGAAGATAAGAATATATTAATAGATTTGAAAGTGTATTTTTTGAAAACATTTGAACTTAATTTTAATTCAAAAGACAATTTTTACATGAAAATATACAACTTTAACTTTAAATTGAAAAGAATAATTCAATATATTCTTAAAGTTGTCAATTCGAATTTAAAATCAACTAAATTTAAATTTTTGAAAGTTAAATGCACGAATAAATTATTTTAATTTCTATATTGAAAATAATAATTTGTAAATAATATGTACTATAATTTTCACCTTCATTATATTATTTCATGCTTAATTCGATATCGTATAGGCTTTCTCGAACGCGCACCCCACATGAACCTTCCCAAAAAATAACTCAATACAATATTCCTTATTTTTGAATAAATCTAATAACAATAAAATAACCAACACCTTCTTCCGGTGGCTTCTCCAATGAGTGTAAGCTATAGAAAACGCTTTAGAACATAGAGAATGAATGTGATAAGTTTGAGAGCGCAAAAAGGGAGAGGTTTTCACATAAATAGATGCAATTTTAGACTTGACATTTTGAATGAAAAATGAGTTATGTCAGTATAGTAAAAAATTAGGTATGGAAAGAGAGCAAGCAAAACAGAGCGAGAGGGAGAACATATCCATGTTTATTTTAAAATATATTACATTCATGTTAATTCTTGGAGTTTTATTAATTTGTTTACTTAATTGAATTTACAAATTAAAATATATATAAACTTTACCTTGGTACATTTATGAAACACCCTCTAAATTTTGTATAAATGCATATGTACATAAATAAATTGATATTTTCCATATTCACGTGGTTGTTTGCGAGTTTTATGTATAATATCTTTGTCGATAGTCTCGTAATTATACGAAATTTAATTCATTGTTATAAATAGGAAAATAATAAGAAAAGAATCCGAACTTAATAAATATGTTTATGAACTTTCCCTTACTATAAATATTATTATATATTTAGTTTGTATCACTACATCACAATAAGCTACTATTTTTTTCGACTCCGACTTCTTGATTGTATGTTAGAAAGAATTTTTTTCTCTTTTTGTATTTTTGTTTTGTTTTGTTTTTTTTTGTGATACCTAATGCATCTTTACCTTTTTTGTAAAAAAAAAAAAAAAGAAAGAATATATTTAAAATTTTAACTATTTGAAACATACTTGTTCCAAGCTTCATAGGCAATATTAGGGCCATGATTTTCTCATAAAAGTCAGTCCTTAGTTTATAAGTTTGCTTTGTCCTCTCTCAAATTACTAAATTCAATTTCTTATTTCTAAAAGTTTGTCGAATCTTTGTTTTAATTTTTGCATTATTCAATATAATGTAAAGTTTAAAATTTTCACGGAAATGGATATAGTAATAAAGTCAAATTTTTACTAAAAAATTTAAAATTCGAAATAATTTTAAAGTCTAAGCCCAATAAAAGCCCACTATTAATTTTTATTTTTCCTAAGAAAATGAGGGTAAGAATAAAACACGTTTATTTGTGCTCTATTTTTTTTCCTATTTTGTTTAAATTTATTTTTGATGCTTTACAAAATAAAACTAGTTATTTGATGTATAATTTGAATGGAAAACACATATTATGTAGTATGAATTTTAAGGGAAAACAATTATCAATTGAGCAACTAAAAATAAAAAGTAACACTATCACAATGTCATAATATTAGTGAACACTAAGATTTTCTGCCAAATATTTGGAAAAATTATATATCCAAAATTAATTAGCCATTAATAAGAGTAATAATTTTATTTATATGATAAATTTTGCATCAGCTAAAAGTAGAATTAGGCTTTCTAAATTAATTTTCCTAAAATAAAAAATGTATAATTTCTAAACTAGTATAAATACTAGAGTATTCATCCATTAAGAAACACACAACATTATTACCAATGCATGTTTCTTTGGTTTGCTCTTTTCTTGTGTAAAATCCTACAAATCTACCTTCTTATCCATTATTGAAATCATGAGTACGTCTGGAGATCAATCTGGATCTTCACAGCGAAAGTCAGGTCGTCGCAGTATTCCAATAGAAAAGATAGAAAAGAAGAGCAACCTTCAAGTAACTTTCTCTAAGCGTCGAGCAGGGTTGTTCAACAAAGCAAACGAACTTTGCACTTTAACAGGTGCAGAGGCTGGTGTGGTACTGTTCTCGCCTGCTGACAATGCTCATTCATTTGGGTATCCTGATATCAACACAATTACCAATAAGTTCCTCTCCCCGGAGAACATCAACATAGGTAATCAGGGGAGTGAGGGTCATGATTTGGCCCTGATACGGCAAAGTGAACTAGATGCTTTGGCCCGACTCGAGGGGAGGGTAGCTGCTGAGAAGGTACGGGGTGAAGAACTGGAGAAGTTAAGGAGGGAGAGTATGATACCCCTTGGAGGCCCAGGTCTTGAGGGACTCGGATACGAGCAACTTCAATCGTTGAAAGAAGCTATAACTAACTTTGGAAAGGATATGAAGAATATGACTGAGGAAATGTCCGTTGCTCCACCAGAACCAAATATGAGCATAAATTATCCCTTTGGAATGGGAATAAGCACCATGGTGCCATATAATCAATTTCCCGGACAAAGTGGCAACGGCAATGGCAACAACAGCGGCAACAACAATGGAAACGGCAACGACAAAGGCAAAGGCAAAGCTAAATACTACGACTAATTAGTCTTGGTGATTGGTAAATGTGTTGTGCTGGTGGGGGGTATGATGCGGTCCTACATGGTTGTGATAATTAGTCTTGAGTGAAGTTTTATTTTATTTTCAATTATATAATAATGAGTTTTGTATCCATGTTGAAGACCTTTGACATTAATAAATTGTTGGTATTTGTTTTGTGTTTTTTGATTATGTTGTTGCAATTTATAATTTTTCTTTAAATATTATCATATCTTAACATCAATTTTATCTTAAAATTAATATAAAATTCCACACTTTAATTCTATTAAAATTTAAAAGTATAACAATAATTATTTTTGGACGAATATTTTCTTATACTTGTTCAAAGAAATCTGAAAAGTTTCACATGATTAGGTTCAAACTCTATATAACTAGTTACAACTATTGAGGGTATTTTCTTGATTCCATAATATACGAAATGAAATGAGTGCGGTATTCAATTGTACTTTCATCTATATTTTCCATATATTCAAGGCTTCCTTTTTGCTTTACTATTTTTTTCTTATAAAATTTAACATCCAACCCTTCATTTCTATCAAAACAACACCTTATAATACACCACTACTTTCATCTTAAAAGTTTAAAAGATTTAAAACAACTAAAAACATCGAACCAAAATAAAATATGCATCTAAACACACGCAGAGAAAATCACATTGAGGAATTTTATTTCATGAAATAATTCTGGGAAACTTGTTCTCTATATCTGAAACTATGAAGCAATGCAAATATGTATATATATGTATCTATTCAACATTTAAAATCACGATGATAGTAAAAATGAGAATGCATAATAGTTTTCGATACAATCCTCGAGCTAGTGGGTGAAGAAATTTATATTGGGAAATAGTTTTCTGTTTTGAAACTGCATATCCTTTCGTCATATTGCAAATCGGATTGTATACATCGTCTACATAATTCCTTAGAATAAACTTTCAAACACGGATATATCATATTATTTTCCATATATATCAATACAATTGAGTTGATCAAAGGCTTTTTTTTGTTTATAATTTTAAGATATAACAGTAGATCGAGGAGAATATTGAATTATGCAATGAATTTGTTAAATCATGCAAAACATCCAAACCGCACCAAATTGCTTAATTATAGAGCAAATATCATTTTTGGTCTCATTCAATATCATAATATCAATTTTGGTCTCATTCAAAAAAATTTATCAATTTTGGTCACACTAAAATGAAAATTGATCAATTTTAGTCCTAGAATGGTTGGCTGCGACCGATAAATTTTCATTTGAGTTGAACCAAAATTGATAAAAAAAATTTTGAATGGGACCAAAATTGATAATTATAATATTGAATGGAATAAAAAATAATTTTTTCTCTTAATTATATTATTGAGTCAGTAGATTTATTGGAAAAGGCATATATAAATAGACAAAAATTATTGAATTCTGATGTAAAACTGTTATGCCATATAAGAAAGTGTTGAACTCCTGCATTGTTAATCGATACACAAATTTTTGCTAAACAAGCAACACATTCATTGAATTGATAATATTAAAGCAAATGTAAAAAGAAAACACTAAGACAACTAAAATTTATTGTTAGACGGCATAGTTTAATTATTTCAACGATTTGATCAAGTTTAGATACTTAAGTGAGTTGTCTGGTTCAATGCTTAATTAAGTAGCTCACTCTTCTGCTCTCCCGGAGTCAAGTGATGTTATTTGTGCGGACTTCTGAGAACTAATTCTTTTCATTTTGGTTCTAGCGAGCTAGTTCGAGTGAACTCCACCAAAGAAGTCATGCGACCTTTGATTTGCATGGATTTGATGAAGTTTATTGTGTCCAAATTTATCTCCATAACACAGGGCCTGTCGTGACTTTCGAGAGGCGGGACGACATAATAATAAGGGTCGCTAAATTTATATGAATATTTTTTTTATCTATAATAAAATATAAATAATATTAAAAAATTTTGAGGCACTAAGGATTTTAACTCAAGGTCACACCATTGTAGATCCACCCAAAACCACCAAACTACATGTGTTTATATTTACACATATCAAATACGGAGAAAATTGCAAATAAAATATCCCACAGTTATACCCTATTATCACTTTTGTCCTATATTTATCTCGTTGGGAAAATATATCTCATATGTTTACAAAAGTCGTTATTTATGTCCTTTACCCGCGCATGAAATTTACACCACGCGCCCTTACGCGCGATCACGTGCGGCCACACGCTGCCAAATGATAAAAATAACGATTTTTGCAAATATATGAGATATATTTTGTCACCGAAATAAATACAGGACGAAAGTAATAATGAGGTATACGCGTAAGATTTGTTTTGCAATTTTTTCTATCAAATATGTTCTATACGTAAAAATTATACAAATATAATATAAATATTAAATAGGCCTCCTATTTATATTGGGTCCTGGTCGCCTAGGGCCAACCCTGCCATAACCTCCCTTACATATCTCCTTTCTATTTGTAAAATTCTATAATGTTACTATTGCAAAATAAATGCTTCAATGCTATGTCCTCTAAGTATATGCAAACGGAGATTATGAAACTACGAATGGAAAAATAACCGTTATACACATGGTTGCTCCATGATAACGACAACGGTTTCTTGTGAAGATGCACAAGACAAAAAAAAAACTCAAAAGATTTGTTAACTTGGGTCGGTGTAAAGACTTACACTTTGGAACATCAATCCAAGAAATGCCTACTATAACTTATCATCAGGTTTACTAGGATTTCAAAACACCAACAAACTTAAAAAATAAAAAAATAAAAAAAAAAACTAACCTTTCTGATCTTAACGTAACTCAAATATATCAACTCAAATTTTCAATTGAATAGGATCACTTCATTAAAGTTGTCAATTCAAATTTAAATAAGTTTGAATTTAAAACGATTTTGAGGGTGTATTCAATTAGGAGTTTATTGAATTTTTTTTGGACTTTAAAAAAGTCCGTGAATTTACGTGAATTTAAAAAATCTATAGACTCCACGAAGAGTTTGATTAATTTTCTTTATTAATTTACATGAATTTTCACAAAATTTATTGCATTATTTAATTATGTACGTGAACTTCATAAAGTTGATAGGATTATATAATACTCCTACTTTTCATTGATTTATATACAAAAACAGTGCTGCAAATATATAGAAGCACAATTGCTTATAAAATAATTATTAAAATTATTTAACAAAAATATCAAAAATACATTACTTCCAAAAAAAATATAAGCATATTTCTAAAAATAAATTTTTACACAAAAAATAAACATATATATAAAAAATTATTGTTTTTGTAAAAAAATAATTGAAGTTAAAAAATTAGAAAATAAAAACGAAAAATTAAGAAAATAAATAAATATAAAAAAGTGGTTCAAATCGGAACCGTCAGAACTGAAATCGAAATTGACAAATACAAACCAAAATCGTAATTTAAAAAGTTCAAAAACGACCTTTCGAACTATTTTGGTAAGCATAACCGCAAACCATTGGTGTTCGATGAACAAGGGGTTTAATGTTATTTTTATGAAAGAAAATATAATATCTGGTTTATTTTCATCAGATCGATGAGATTGGATATTCTATGATTTCTCTTAATTGTACGAAGAATTTATCACTTCCGCTGAACAGTTGGTAAAATATAACCTAAATTATATTTGTGTCAAATATCTAAGGAAATGATTCTGTATCCTAAGTATAATGTGTCAAATATCTAAGGAAATGATTATGTAAACATATTTTAAATATCTAATATAATGAATACATCGTCTTTTATGTGCAGTGTCGTATAGGCATCCTCAAACGACGACCCTTCTTGAAAATAGCTTACTACAACATTCCTCATTTTCGAATAAATCAAATAACAATAAAATAACCAAAAATCACCCCCTATTTTGATGATATCCATGATTTTTGTTTAAACAGCAGCATACACAACAACCTAAGGCATATATAAAAATATTGCGAATATTGGATTTCTAACTTAGTACATTACACATTGTAAGCGTTCGAGAGTCTAGGTATATACCAAGCATTTAACCTATAAAGTCATTGTGAACACATGTTGTAAATGTACATACAATTTTTCAACAATTTATGTTTGACACTTTAAAAGTCGTGTCCCAATCCATTCACCAATATATCAAAAGCCAAATTTAGACCATTTTTTGGAACATAAAAACTTTATATTTGTATAGGTAATTCCTTTACTCTTGCCCTTGCACAATAATTTTTCAAATAAATTATTAAGATATATAAATGCATTCATTGAAATCTACTACATGTAAGACTTTCACATTGAATTCATAGCATCGTACTATGAGGGTTTTGGGTGTGTTATGTGCGTAGATTCTTTGGAATTTATTTCCATTATGATTGAAGACTTATGTACTAAGTCTCTAGTCAACTCCATAGTTAAATTAGTCATACGTTACACTGAGACTGTATATGGACTACAATAACTACACCGTTTGTAATAAATTCTCATGCCATACCATGTCTCATAGCCACTTGTCGATTGTAAGCTTTATACATAATAACTTCAGTGTCACACTGTACCTAAATAAGGGGTATTAGTTTTGACCATAATGGAATCTCACAAATAAGTTTCGAAACCATTATGCTTCGTTACCAGTCGCGCCTAATGCAATGAATTTAGATTTAAGATGTCGAGGCAGTAACAATAACTTTGCCCATTTTGCAGTATCGCCAAGCGCTGCAGAAAGAGCAACTCTAGGGGCCAGCGAAGAAGAGCCCTCCAAGACAACCCCCAAACACTAAAAACATCAACACCGGCAAAAACTCTGACTCCACCATCAATAAAATCTGATCAAACTATACTAGAAGATAAGGAGAATGAAGAGGAAAAGGTTTACAAGGAGCAACACGCTCGGCTGCTCGCTGAATTTGAAAGATGAGAGAGAGAGGGCGATGAAGGTACTGGTGAAATTATTGAAATGGTGGAAGCCACTAACTCAATGCCAGAC